CACTGGATTCTCACGTCCTGAAAACGTAGAAGTAACTTTACGTAGCTGGAATATTAAGGGTAACTTGACACTTCTCTAATCCTGGGGGGAAGAATTGGTCCCCAGCAGCCTGTACTGGTCGTAAGAGGCATAAAACCTGATCAGTTGCTCACACTCAGTGGCTTGTTTGATAGCGTGTCCCTTGTTGTAAGGGGCGACTAACAGGATCGGGTGATCAGGTTCGCTGACTAGGTTGACACTAGGTTCCCAATTGTGCAGATCGATGCTCATGCTATTGTGGATTGTCTGGTCCAGACTCGATTATTTACAGACCGCCGCCATATAGCTGGAATATTGCTGAGTGTGGCGTAAAACTAAACTCACTCACTCAGTCACTGATAGCGTGTCCTGATACTGAGATTGTCAGGTCCAGACTAAAACAGTACACGTAACTTTCATATTACTGGAATCATGAATGTAGCTTTTAATAACAAGCGGGCGGTGGGGTAGCCTAGGGGTTAAAGCGTTCGCTCGTTACGCCGAAGGCCCAGGTTCGATTCCCCACATTGGTACAACTTGTGAAGCGCATTGCTGGTGTTCCCCGCCGTGATATTGCTGGAATATTGCTAAAAGCGGTAAAACCATACTCAGCCAGTCAGTTTAATAACAAGCAAATTATAAAACAAAAGTTTGGTAAATATGGAACTATTTACACTCCACATTGTTGTCCTGAATTATGTATTTGAACAAATGTAAAGAGTGAGTGAGTGAGTGAGTATGGTTTTACGCGGCTTTTAGCAATATTCCAGCAATATCACCGGAGGAGGACACCAGAAATGGGCTTCACACATTATACCAATGTGGGGAATCGAACCGGACCTTCGCATGATGAAGCCGAACGCTTTAACCACTGAGGCTCCCCACAGCCCCAGAAAAAGAGTGAAACATCATAAAAAAATACAGTTAGTTAGAGCTACAAAGACTTTTGACTCGATACTTAAAATATATTCTCAACAAGTTTGCGAATGTTCAAAGATATTCCTTCTTTTCAAAGAAGCTGTATCACATGTCCAACACCTACCTAGAGTTGGTTACTCTATTTCCTGGATAAGAACCTCTGAGAGAATGTCCATTTAATACTGTTTCTTGTGTGTGTGAGAACAAGAGATTGAGCTCTTGTAGTAAAGCATGACATACATATTTGCCCGCGACACATACATGTCTTGCCTCCATGTCTGTCATAAATTATGGCGACAGTACAGAATCACCCAGTCACTACTGAAAGAATAATCTACAAAGTTCGAAGGCTGTGGGCTGCCATCATTCATTCATCGAAACCGGTAATCAATACACCTGTTTGTTCACTACAGAAGAAACTATTACATACAGCATAAGCTCCGTTACATGGTATAGTTGAAGGCCTCGAGGGACAGGTGGAGATGATGGTAAATTTGTCTTAGAACAAATTGGTTTACAATAGCGAGGGTGTTTTGCACTAAGAAATAGATTTGCAATTTTGTCCATGTGTGATGAATTAAGCAAAGGAAGAGGTGGAGGAAGTGTTGGCTAATGTTCAGTTAGTAGTATACGGAAGTATCTCGAAAAATGAATGTTTTCCTGTTTTTCATCAGAGTCCATATTAATGTTTTAGTATTTTTAGAACGGTTTGGTGGGGGAGGACAACTTAAAGCTGATACCCACATATGCATGCCACCCAACCCAATCCCGCCCCCCAGCCCCAAAGGGACTGAGCTCTGTCTCTGGACTTCATAATCCAGAACTCATAATCACTTAGTAAATGAGTGAGAACAGTTAGACTTCTGTGATGTCTTCTATTTCTTTAGTCACGCCGAAGACCCGGGTTCGAATCCCCACATGGGTACAATGTGTGAAGCCCATTTCTGGTGTCCCCAGCCGTGATGTTGCTGGAATATTGCTAAAAGCGGCTTAAAACCAAACTTAGTCAGTCAGTCTATTTCTTTAGTCTGACGCTTCAAAGAGGAGGCACAGTGAATATGCAATGATCCAACTGAGTAGGCTAGACAGAACACAAGTAGGTAAATAGTACTTCTGATTCCTGAATAAAATATCTTGTCTAAGTTGCCTGGACACTTTGTAAATAGATGACGAGGATACTGAAATGTCTGAAGAGAAAACACACCACAGAGAGTAGCAGGAACAGAAACAGCTACTATTACTACTAATTACTTGTACTTCAAAGAGGAAGACAAGTACATCTTGCAAACATTCATAGAAATTTCCCTTTTCCCGGACTAGAAATATTGCGTAGCTAAGATGTACATGCTGTGTTTTCACAGAGATCTAGAACTGATCGTGTTTCAGACTTTTAATGTAGCCTTCTTCTAATTCAAGATCTGTGATTATGGTAGTGTCAATCCTCCTCCAATAAACTGTTTGCCAGAAGTACAAGTGTGATGAAACCTGTGTGTGTTCCTTTGGGTGAAGGTATTGATACAGAGATAGGCAACGTATTGCCCCGTGATAACCCAATAAAGTCTTTCTATCATCTTGAGACTGAGATAGTGATGCCCCTCAGGCACATGAGGAGCTTGATGCAAGGAGATATATATGATTGTGGAATAAAAACAATTTGTTGTTCCTGTTTAGTCTGGAGTATAAATTTTGTGCGATGGAGTAAGCAGGAATGTGGCGGAGGCCGAGATGTTTGCTTTTTCTGCTGTTATTGTCTTCTTTGTCATCACCACCACTGTCATCATCATCATCATCATCATCATCATCATCATCATCATCATCATCATCATCATCTAGGATAGAATAGGTAATCACCAACAATGGTGATTAATTTTGTATCTTGATTGATAAGAAACTTTCCTCCTGAGAAGCATCCGTTGTATTTATGACATGTTCCATTGTGTTACCAAAGGATAGCAGTTAGGGAATGTCCATTTTATTCTGAAAGGTTCCCAGTTAAAGAGTGTTAATATAAGTTTTAGTAACAGAGCGACCGTTTTATTATAAAACAAGCGAGCGGGTTATTCAAGTTGGAACTGGCCAGTAGGTTTGAGTGGCTCACTCTGTGCCCTTCTTGGCTGTGTTGAACATTGAACTGATCATGGTATCAACCTCTTGTGTATCAGACCAAGCCTCAGTTGTTTACACACTGCCATGTTATGGATGGATTACTGCTCAGCCTGGGATATAAATCTGAAGGTCAAATTAAAGAACAATTTCAAGTTACTGAATCAGTTATGACACCAGCTGTTCGTGGATTAGGTCCACATGGTCTGTCCTGGCGTAATGATCAAGGTCATTGCAAAGTTAAAGTAATATTTTATTATTAAAATAGTTTTTAATGATGTTAGTTCCTTATTTTAGCGACAAATAGCGGCCTAAGTTACCGCTCTTCCTGTTAATTAGAGTTATCTCCCTTGACCTAATTCTTGTCGTCCTAAGCGGTTCAAATGGCGGCATGCTTGATCTATCGTGTGAAAAATCAGTCATTTGGAAAGGAAAACCATAATGGCAGAAAGTATACAGGAGGTAAAACCCAAAGCATAAGACCGCTGGTAACCGGATGCAAAGGCGTGATGGAAGCTTTGAAAGTCCAGTATCGCAGAAACATGGAAGATCAAGCCTTACATGAGTGTCCCCTGTGTTCTTGTCGACAAAGCGCCATGACAGCGTCATTGCAAAGTTAAAATATAGCTATTCATCAAACAACCATATTACCTATCAATGGCCCCAGGTGTTCATGAATCATGTCAGCATGATCTTAATTTGTGAAATAATGACCAAAGTAGTTGCAAAGTTAATCTTTATAATATAGTTATTTATCAAACACCCAAATCACATAACAATGACAGGTGTTCATGAATCAGAGTCAGCATGATCTGTAGCAGCCAACAAAATAAAGATCATGGTCACTGTACAGTTTGCCTTAAAATATAGCTGTTGATCATACATCCAAATCACTTATCAGTGACACTTGGTGGTCATGAACTGGTGAGTGTGAGAGCATCTGAGAGAAAATTCCATGTCTGTGCTGGTCAAGGGTGTCAATGTGAGAGTGTCGTCTCTGCCTGACTTGCCAGTTAAACGCTGAAATTAAGGTGTCTAGAATTCACACTCCAGTGGTTTGCCCAGACAGAATAAATGCAGTTCTCCTTTGGTTAGGGAATGTCCATTTTATTCTGAAAGGTTCCCAGTTAAAGAGTGTTAATATAAGTTTTAGTAACAGAGCGACCGTTTTATTATAAAACAAGCGAGCGGGTTATTCAAGTTGGAACTGGCCAGTAGGTTTGAGTGGCTCACTCTGTGCCCTTCTTGGCTGTGTTGAACATTGAACTGATCATGGTATCAACCTCTTGTGTATCAGACCAAGCCTCAGTTGTTTACACACTGCCATGTTATGGATGGATTACTGCTCAGCCTGGGATATAAATCTGAAGGTCAAATTAAAGAACAATTTCAAGTTACTGAATCAGTTATGACACCAGCTGTTCATGGATTAGGTCCACATTGTCTGTCCTGACGTAATGATCAAGGTCATTGCAAAGTTAAAGTAATATTTTATTATTAAAATAGTTTTTAATGATGTTAGTTCCTTATTTTAGCGGCAAGCCAACGGCCTTAAGTTACCGCTCTTCCTGTTAATTAGAGTTATCTCCCTTGACCTAATTCTTGTCGTCCTAGCGGTTGAAATGGCGGCATGCTTGATCTATCGTGACGAAAAATCAGTCAATTGGAAAGGAAAACCATAATGGCAGAAAGTATACAGGAGGTAAAACCCAAGCGCAAGACTGCTGGTAACCGGATGCAAGACGTGATGGAAGCTTTGAAAAGTCCAGTATCGCAGAAACATGGAAGATCAAGCCTTACACGAGTGTCCCCTGTGTTCTTGTCGACAAACGCCATGACAGCGTCATTGCAAAGTTAAAATATAGCTATTCATCAAACAACTATATTACCTATCAATGGTCCCAGGTGTTCATGAATCAGGTCAGCATGATCTTTAGCTGTGAAATAATGACCAAAGTAGTTGCAAAGTTAATCTTTATAATATAGTTATTTATCAAACACCCAAATCACATAACAATGATACAGTTTGCCTTAAAATATAGCTGTTGATCATACATCCAAATCACTTATCAGTGACACTTGGTGGTCATGAACTGGTGAGTGTGAGAGCATCTGAGAGAAAATTCCATGTCTGTGCTGGTCAAGGGTGTCAATGTGAGAGTGTCGTCTCTGCCTGACTTGCCAGTTAAACGCTGAAATTAAGGTGTCTAGAATTCACACTCCAGTGGTTTGCCCAGACAGAATAAATGCAGTTCTCCTTTGCAAGATCACGCAGCAAGCACTGATTATCCCTTGTTGCCCGCCATTGTTGAACTGGATGTGAACGTAAATATTCTGACTCAGAAAGTGGTGTATTGACAGCCAAACAGCAGACCAAACCTGTTTGACAGGGAGAAATCTTACGGTTTAGTCCAGACATGCAGGACATAAAGAAATCTAATTACACAGCAGATAGGACTGCTTGAGTTTGTAATCAGGGAGGGATCAGCCTGGAGGAGTAGAACCTGCTATCATCATCATCATCATCACCATCATCATCAATGTCATCATCATCATCATCAATGTCATCATCATCATCATCACCACCATCATCATCAACGTCGTCATCATCCTCATCATCACCATCCTCATCGTCATCATCATCACCACCATCATCATCATCAATGTCATCATCATCATCATCATCACCACCATCATCATCAACGTCGTCATAATCATCATCATCATCACCACCATCATCATCAACGTCGTCATCATCATCATTATTATCATCATCACTCTATATCACCATCTTCTTCATAATCACCATCATCATCATCACCTATACAACATCATCATCATCATCATCATCATCCCTGCAACATCACCACTATCATCCTCCTCCTCATCATCATCATCACCATCATCATCATCATCATCATCATCATCACCACCCATACAGCATTTGTATCTTTGATTTAATATTTAGTGCCCTTTCTAAACTTTTAGCCTTGTGCTCAGAAACAGGTATTGACTTGTGTCTTAATTGAGATCAGATTGTCACAGTTTCTGATCAATAAAACGAGTTCCAAAGAATAGGTCTAGGATGTTCTCAGAACTGTGAGCTTTACTGTATCAGTGAATGAGTGAGTGAGTGAGTGAGTGGGATTTAGCATACTCATACATCACTTTCTCTATGTAACCATTCATAAGTTGAAATTGTGTTTAAATCAGCATTTTTCTTTGCTGACCTATTAACTGAAAGATTTTGTTGTTGTTAGAATAAACATTGTTAAATATTGACACGAAGACTCTTGCTTACAACAGTACTGGCTAATTTGCTGTTATTAAATTCCCCCAACAAGTTTCCCAGACTCGCTGACGGGAGTAGTGACAGTGGGATTCTACTTCTTGTCAGGTTCTGAAACACTAAAAACATTAATCTGATTACATGTGATTACTTGAAAAATGGTGTAGATGAAGTGTTTTGCAAGACAAAAATCAATCCCATCAACTTTAAAGTAATTAGAGTAGGTGACTGGAGCCAGAAATCAGTCCCTATCAAAATAAAATTAAGTCTCTTGATGTATGTAGGTTGAAGTAAGCCATTACTGAATGTGTGTGATCAACTAGCTATATTCTGGTATATCAGTCTATATTCTGGTATATCAGTCTATATTCTGGTATATCAGTCTTTATTCTGGTATATCAGTCTATATTCTGGTATATCAGTCTATATTCTGGTATATCAGTCTATATTCTGGTATATCAGTCTTTATTCTGGTATTTCAGTCTATATTCTGGTATATCAGTCTATATTCTGGTATATCAGTCTATATTCTGGTGTATCAGTCTATATTTATCAGTTTATATTCTGGTGTATCAGTCTATATTTTGGTATATCAGTCTATATCTGGTGTATCAGTCGATATTTTGGTATATCAGTCTATATTCTGGTGTATCAGTCTATATTTTGGTATATCAGTCTATATTCTGGTATATCAGTCTATATTCTGGTATATCAGTCTATATTCTGGTGTATCAGTCTATATTCTGGTGTATCAGTCTATATTCTGGTGTATCAGTCTATATTCTGGTGTATCAGTCTATATTCTGGTGTATCAGTCTATATTTTGGTATATCAGTCTATATTCTGGTATATCAGTCTATATTCTGGTATATCAGTCTATATTCTGGTATATCAGTCTATATTCTGGTGTATCAGTCTATATTTTGGTATATCAGTCTATATTCTGGTGTATCAGTCTATATTTTGGTATATCAGTCTATATTCTGGTGTATCAGTCTATATTTTGGTATATCAGTCTATATTCTGGTGTATCAGTCTATATTCTGGTATATCAGTCTATATTCTGTTGTAGTCTATATTCTGGTGTATCAGTCTATATTCTGGTATATCAGTCTATATTCTGGTGTATCAGTCTATATTCTGGTATATCAGTCTATATTCTGGTGTATCAGTCTATATTTTGGTATATCAGTCTATATTCTGGTGTATCAGTCTATATTCTGGTATATCAGTCTATATTCTGGTGTATCAGTCTATATTCTGGTATATCAGTCTATATTCTGGTGTATCAGTCTATATTCTGGTGTATCAGTCTATCAGTCTATATTCTGTTGTATCAGTCTATATTCTGTTGTATCAGTCTATATTCTGGTGTATCAGTCTATATTCTGGTATATCAGTCTATATTCTGGTGTATCAGTCTATATTCTGGTATATCAGTCTATATTCTGGTGTATCAGTCTATATTCTGGTATATCAGTCTATATTCTGGTATATCAGTCTATATTCTGGTATATCAGTCTATATTCTGGTGTATCAGTCTATATTCTGGTATATCAGTCTATATTCTGGTATATCAGTCTATATTCTGGTATATCAGTCTATATTCTGGTATATCAGTCTATATTCTGGTATATCAGTCTATATTCTGGTGTATCAGTCTATATTCTGGTATATCAGTCTATATTCTGGTATATCAGTCTATATTCTGGTATATCAGTCTATATTCTGGTATATCAGTCTATATTCTGGTATATCAGTCTATATTCTGGTATATCAGTCTATATTCTGGTATATCAGTCTATATTCTGGTATATCAGTCTATATTCTGTATATCAGTCTATATTCTGGTGTATCAGTCTATATTCTGTTGTATCAGTCTATACTCTGGTATATCAGTCTATATTCTGGTATATCAGTCTATATTCTGGTGTATCAGTCTATATTCTGGTGTATCAGTCTATATTCTGGTATATCAGTCTCTATTCTGGTATATCAGTCTCCTGATATTTAGGAGTGTTGTAACCTAAATATCGGTATGTGAAAGGTTCTCAATGAATTAATGGATTAGTTTCAAAGTATTCTCATCTAATGGTAAAAATTGTATCTGTAGGCTGTTTGTAGTTTATATTTGTTTTTCAAATGGCACTCTGTCTTAGAGGTTCTGAGCTCTGTCAAGACTTTACATCCACCTACAGGGTTTTACGCGACACAAAAATATAGACAATGGATGCACACAAAAAATTCACTGCGTCCTGAGGGATGCATAATATTATTCATTGTACCGACAACACATCTACGACTTCGCTAGATGTTTGGCTCTTTCTTTCAGAGCAGCTATACATGCATCATTTCATCCACCAGTCCATATAATAAATGATTCATTTCACTCATCAATAAATATAAACTTCCGGGCATCAGCTAGTTTGGTTTGTACCAGTGGACATTTAACTCTTAAAGGACTTTCTTAAAAATGTTCAAGACTGGTTTTGGTACTTTACGTGTGACAAATACAAATTGGCCAAATATTTGCATAAAACGTTATTTGAGATAGGACCCTTCAAAATCTGTGATTATAACATAAAATAATTTAAAAAACTGTTTCAAGGACAAGTGTTGTGAGTGAGTGAGTGAGTTTAGTTTTATGCCACGTTCATCAATATTCCAGCTATATGGCATCGGTCTATAAATAATCGAGTCTGGGCTAGACAATCCAGTGATCAACAGTGTGAGCATCGGTCTATGCAATTAGAATACAATTACATGTGTCAGCCAAGTCAGTGAGCCTGACCTCCTGATCCCATTAGTCGCCTCTTACAACAAGCATGGGTTACTGAAGATCAATTCTAACCCTGATCTTCACGGGTGACACATTTTGCGTCAGTTGAATCCAAGAATCCTGTCTCATAGATTTGTCAAAGTGTTCATGTAAATGTATATACTATTATTGTTTCCTGTATCAAAATATGACAAATATTTATTTCAATATCACTTTCAGAAGAAGGACCAGTATTAAGTGATATATTGCAAAACAAATGGACATATTTCTTTTCTTTTTCAATTCCAGATTTAACAAAACCCTATACCACACATGCATTGGATACGTTCTTTTACAATATTTATCATGGAGACTCAGAATGCATAATTGTGTGTCTAGCATGTAGAATCTGTTTGTCAAGTTATAGACTCTCTTGTTTGCCTACTAATTTTTCCAGTCATTAACACTCAGTGTATCCATAAAGTGTACACAACCTGCCTTAAAAACACAAAACTTCAAGCTGTCTGAGGACTTTCAAGCATACTCCAAGCTTAAAATACAGAAGACTTCAAGCTGTCTCAGTTCTGTCAAGCATACTCCAAGCTTATAATACAGAAGATGTCATGCTGTCTCAGTTCTGTAAAGCATACTCCAAGCTTATAATACAGAAGATGTCATGCTCTCTCAGTTCTGTCAAGCATAAAGCTCAGAAGATGTCAAGCTTAAATATTACAGAAGACGTCCATGCGTCTCATGCTGTCTTCAAGCAGTTCTGTCAAGCATCAGAAGACGTCATGCTGTCTCAGTTCTGTAAAGCATACTCCAAGCTTATAATACAGAAGATGTCATGCTCTCTCAGTTCTGTCAAGCATACTCCAAGCTTAAAATACAGAAGACGTCATGCTGTCTCAGTTCTGTCAAGCATACTCCAAGCTTATAATACAGAAGACGTCATGCTGTCTCAGTTCTGTAAAGCATACTCTCAGTCCCTGTAGTCCCTGTTTTTATTGAAACCAATGCAGCAGTATATCAGACTTGTTGATCAGGTTTCGAGCAGCAGCCAGACAATGGCTACATATGTGGCGTTCACAGACAAGATAAATGGTTAATCATAAGGGAATTACCTCATCCACAACCAGGACAAAGCTGAAGGTGTCAGAATGGCATCATCTTCATATATCAATATATCGTGACTCCTGGATCCAGAGTCAGGCCGGTGCTGGTTACGAGGTGCTGTATCTGAGAGAGTGGCAATATGACAACCAACCATTGTACATTTTTCATTCTGTGGTCCTATGGTTGGGTTCTTCTGACTTTATTGCATGTAAGTGGCAAATGTTGATTAGATAAGTTCCCGTTATTAGCAGTTACAAGTAATTACAGTCAAATCCTGATGAGTCGAATCTCTGGGGACCAAGTAATAAATTCGACTTATCGATGTATTCGAGACATAAGTATGTCTATAAGGGTAGAAAAAAAGATGATCCTGTCCTAAGTCCTCCGCCTAAGCATTTGTTTATCTAATGATTTCCCTATCACTAATAGGGGCACCTTATCAGTTCCAGTCTGATTAGCACAGACAGTGATTTCCGTAAAATCACTAATCTGCCTTTTGAACTCACCCGTCAAAGGCGGAAAGGTGTGAGCCGCGCTGGTTTGTTAATTGGATCAGTTTGCTACACCAATCAACTTATCATTGACTGACTTCGGCTTATGTATACAAGATTGCTGTTGTTTGAATCTCATGGGACCAAATTTTCTTTTTGAGTCATCGTGTGTATTTATGATACGAATTCGTGTAACCGGAAATCAAATGATGACAACTATAACAGGGAATGGTTGGGACCGACAGGTACTTCGAGTTATGCATAATATTCGAGACACCGGCATTCGACTCATCGGGATTTGACTGTATTCATGAATCCCCATATCTGCTCTCTCTTAAAATATCCACATTAATTATGTTTGTTATTTTGTTTCTGTTGAGTAAATGGGTGTCATATATATATAACCTGAGTTGTCATGATGTGTTATAACTTATAGGGTTAGCGGTCACATTAGCATCTCATCCTCCCAGGTACCCATTCACTGATGCATGAAAATACATATATTTCAACTTAAGTCTCTTGCTCAGGGAAACACCACACATGCTTCAGTGTGGAGCAAAGACCTGGAATCTCTCAGGAGCCACCAAACACAGTCACCAATCTAAAGATTCTCCATGACCAACATGACCATGTGCCACTGGTATTTTCTGTCCATAAATAGTTTCCAAATCCCCCCATCTCCACACACTTTGAGCCTCATTTGAACTTCTATGGTGAGATTATGAAGCTATATATATTCACTTTTTCATCCTCAGTTGTCAATTAGTTTTTTATAAACTGCTAAAAAACAGCAGCATCAGCGTATCAATCTGAAAATCAGGATGGAAGCGCCGGCTGAAGCTCGAGGAAGACATACTGAAACTAAGCTCTCACATTAACACAGCTTACTCAGTGGTTGTCTGACAACCTACAGCGCCATTACTCACATATAGCCAGGATTCAGTAGTTGACGCTGAGTTGAGTCCATTACACTGTTTACCAGCTTCACATGTTTGATCAAATGGAACCCATTCTCATCCCGAAAAGTAATTTGCTGAAACAGTTACACCCTTCATGTCCAGTTACCTACATCAGGGGAGACTATGGTAATATGGCGCTGGTTGGGGAGAGGTCTTTCACACACAGACATTGCTCTTGTTTGTCCACTGATGAGACCGTAGTTGGGGATGTACAGAATGTGTAAGTGCAGCTGGAGCCTCTCTGGTATGCAGTTGGGATGCAGGACAACATGCTGGGATGTTCTATTGCCAAGTTCTTAGCATTGTCAATGCTGATATGTTTGTCTTGATTCTTTGAAGGTGGGGGCTACAAGGTTTGGAATGGTAATGGACTGATGCTAATGTCTGTTGGTGCTTGAGAAGTCAGATTAAGGATAGTTACAGTATTTACTGTATTAGATGTTGGAACTCTCGTAGTCCATGCTTGTTCGGGTAGTGGGGTAGCCTATAGTGGTTAAAGTGTTCGCTTTCGATCTATCCTATCTCACTCACTCTATCTATCTATCTATCTATCTATCTATCTATCTATCTATATCTATCTATCTATCTATCTATCTGATATGTGATATGTGCTGGTTATGTTCTGTACAAAAATACAAGCCAGGCTTCTAGTACCCACCAGATTTCTGATAGAGGAAGGGTACATTATTTTATTAATTGAATGATTGCAACAGTAACTTATAATAATCACATCCGCTCATTTCTGTCATCTTTGGAAACAGTCAACGGAATGTTGTTAAGTTTTGTTTGTTGTTTGACAATCACACCATGTAACGGCCGTAATGTCCAAGAGGTGATGCTCATGACATCAATCATTGGCTTGTGTGATCCAGGCTCCATTATTTATGCCATCATATAGCTAGAACATTCCTGAGTGCAGCATTAAACAGCAAAACAAACACATTCTACATCATGTCGGGTATGCCTAATTGTTCTCTAACTGACCTTGGCTGAAACTTAGAACAAGTTTTTCTTTAATCATATTTTTCACAAGGTATTAGAGCACTTGAACTGCAAGCAACACTACACTGTTTGATCTGATTGTGAACAATATTGCCGACTCACAAATAAATTGGAAATGTCACATTTTCCCATTGATCAGGAAGTTCTACATTTGCTGTTGTGAAATGTACAACACAGTGCTGACCATTTGATACTGTGTTGGTGCTTGAACTGGGGTCGGATTCTTGAAATAGCTGAAATAGAGAATTCTTGAAGAAAATGCTGGATTTGATTTTATTCAGGCTTACAAACAAAATAATCCTTTAGTTAATGTGCTGGATATACTGACAGTCTTTTTTTAAAGTGAATCTTTTATGCTTTTGAACAAATATTCTATCTGTTACAAAAGAGTGATATACATGTGTAGCTGGTAAATTGCACACTGTGTTTTAAAACAATCTTCACTTACTCAGTGTCAAAGATCATACGAGATCTAGCTTCTGTGTCATTTTCAAATAACTTGATATCTTCATGTTAAAGAGACCGCCTCCGTGATGTATTGGTTAGAGAGTCCGCCCGGAGAGCGTCAGGTCGTTGGTTCGATCCCCGACCGCGTCATACCAAAAGACGTTAAAATATGGTACTTGTTGGTCCCTGCCTGCCGCTCAGCATTAATGGGTACAACAAGGACTGGTCGGCTCGGAGTCAGTATAATGTGTCTGAGTGGGGTATTCATGCTTCACTGCGGCATGGTATCTCAGTGGGCTAGCACTATAAAACCAGCTTCAGTCTGGGCTAGTACAAGCAGCCGCACCTACACATACACACGCATGCACGTCGTCATATGGGCGAAATATTCTCAAGCACGACGTTAAACCCAATTTCACCTCACCTCATGTTAAAGAAATGATGACACATTCTTAGTGTTATTGATGACAACCTGTCATTTTATGGTCACAAAAAAAGTAAATGTAACCTGAGGAAATCTTGCCAAATTCAGACCTGCAATGGGCAAGATTGATGGCAAGAAATAACATGCTGAAAGTGCTGTTCATTTCCTCCTAATAAGCAGATGATCCATTTTGTTCAATATTCATCTGACTTGGTTGTCCATAACATGAGGCAGTGCACATTAATTGTTAGAGTTATGTCTGTTATGTGTTCATGTGACTCCCTGAAGGTTCAACACTGCGTGAGCAGGTATTGAAAAATCAGTCGGAGACAACACCCGAGATTCCTCCCTCCCTTCAGAGATCACTCCTGAGATCTCTCCTGAGATCACTCCTGAGATCACTCTTGATGTATGTCCAGGATCACTTGTGAGATCACTCCTGGTGTCAGATAATGCCACAGTTCCATTAATATCAATGTCAACATGCATGTGTTGTAAAACCGTATCCCTGGACACATGGGACGTTTGGCAGAAAGGATGTCTTCCTGAAAGAATGATATCTAAAATTGGAACGGTGAAGATCACCTTAAGAAGTTGTAATTTCTGACATTATGCCGATTCCTGTAACTTATGTGTCCTTCAGTGATCGAGGTATGCATATTTGGTCATTGTCCTTTGGTATTGAAAACATGTTGCACATTTCCAATCTGTTTAGGCCTGACTTAACGCCCATCAACAAGACTCGCCCTGAGCTCCAACTGGCGAGAATGAGCATGTACCAGCTCAAGGTTGGTGCTGACACCTCTTCAGTCTTCAGCTTGATGCTCATTTTAAAAAGTACAAGAATCAAATTGAACCCTGAAAAGAGAAAAGAACTTGTTTTAATCTGACCTTGATCTCATAAGGAAATAGGTACAACATTAATATCACAGTAACATGAAAATAACCTGTTTGTTCATAGTGAGCTGTGAAGGAATATTAAGACATCACGTTGCATATTTTCACATTATTGCATGTGGGAGAATGCATGATGGGAAATCCTGCCCGATGAACGATGGATAAAGGTATTACCATGATAATTAAGATAGATCTATTCCGACAATTGTGTTAGGAGTGGAGTCCGTTACTGCCTTGTCCTGGGAGGAAGGGAAAGGGTCAGCAAGTTTGGGTAATCATTTAATCAGACTGACGGCCATCTGGAGTTGGATTGGATTCTTGTTGGCATTGGAGCTGATTACCAACTTGAATAATTCAGTGAAGAGGAAACAGAATTGTTTGGTGACAGTGTAGGGGTACATGGAATGTCTGTCGTCAGACTCTGAATCTGTCTCACCAGACCAATGTTGGTGGTTGAGTAAAACATCTGCTCTTCATCCTGGTTTCTTTCATCCCACTTTGAAAACTTTTTATTGAAAATGGTATTGAACCCAACCCTCTTTAGTGCACCCTGTGGGCATTCTTGGTTAGATAAGGTTCCTGCGAGTCTATGGATATTGTCAGGCTCGATGATTCGGTTGACTGCATGGCATCCTCCTATGATGAATTGTTGCGTATGACATCAATAACTTGATTGTCTGGTCCAGACTCGATTATTTACAGACAACTGTCGTCTAGCTGGAAAATAGTTTTCTATGGCATTCTTACGAATGTGACTTTGAGGGTAAAAGCTTTTCATATAGTTACATTTTGATGGTTAACTGAGAGAATGTTGTGTTTCAAATGGGAGTACACTCAGTCATAATTTAGAGATCCATCTTTTTATCCTCCCAGTTGAGTGGGTGAGTGAATATGGTTTTACGCCACTCTTAGCAATATTCCAGCAATATCACTGTGAGGGACACCAGAAATGGGCTTCACACAGTGTACCCATATGGGGAATCGAACCTGGGTCTTCGGTGTGATGAGTGGTCACTTTAACCATGAAGCTACCCTCCTCCCAGTTGAGTCACAGACTTAAGTTCAGTAATAAAACTTCAAACTAGGTCTGTTTTAGACTATTCATAGTCTGTCATACAGACCCTGAAGCAAACATATCCAAGAAAGCCCACGCAAGTCTAGAAAATGTGGCAAGTCTAGATTTCCAGAGCTTCTGAAAATGAAGAAAGTCTCTGGGCTACTTTTCAATATATTATATATATTTATCACTAAGAGCTTTTTTTTCTGTAAAATATGTTCATTTCAGAGACTATTCATTAAAACCAACAAAACACCTGACAATTATGTTTTAAAAACTGTTTAACAAAAACACATTATTTCAGATAAAGTGAGACTAATTTTTTTTTTTTCCAGTGGCATTTTCTAAGACATATCATGTTGGGTTTCTTAAAAATGTCAGGCTCTTCAATCAGAATATCAAATTTATTTAGTCCGTAAGTAGTTAGATGTGAATTAAATGCAGGCTAATTGTATAGTCAGGAGTGTACATGTGGTTAACCGGGAACGTAATAGCAAATAATGGCATCATTGTCTTGCAATCAGAGGGTCAGAGTGTCTAGCTTTTATCTATTAATGCAGAGAAATAGTGTAAGTGAGGACATGGCAAATAGACACTTGACATTACAGCAGAGAGAAGTCTCATCTCTTCCACAAATGGAGATGAAGTGCCCAAACAGGCAACAGCTGTGGAGTAAATCGTACCACTTTTAGAGAGTTTACCATTTTTAGAGCTATTGGGAAGGTGCGTTCGGGCAAAAATTGTATCAAAGAAGCCTAACTCAATCAATTTGTCTGGAGCGATGCTAGTCTGGATCATTGTCGAGCTGAATGTCAGGGTGTCTCCTGGACACAAACAGATATATCACTGGATTACTGGACCTAAGTCAGTTAATCATCAGAGTTATCTCCCTTGTAAACAGATTCCCAAAACTGGGAGATGGAAATCTGAGGAATATGACTCAGATTTCCAGTTGTGGCAATATTTGAGAAGAAAAGTGATGAGAATAGTTTTGAGGATGTTTACTCCGTTTGTGCTTCTCAGTTTTTGTGAAAAACATATGAATTTGTTCTTTATTCTTTTTAACTAGAATCTTATTCAAATTAACATACATTTTATTGAAAATAGGTAGGAGAATTAATGGATTTTTTTTTTTTTTTAGAAATGCCTATCCTAAATGTAGCTAAATTTAAAATCAAATGAGAATTCTTTTGCCCAAATTATAATCAAACAAACCATAGGTTAATGATTGAAAGAAATTTCTAGTGAAAGGTTTACATGGTTTTATAAAGTATTATTATATCCTTTTTTAATTTTGGTTTCCTAAAAAAAAATAATAATAATTTTTTGGTTGTTTACCTTGTTATCAAAATTAAAATTAATTTGTTATGGCCTAATGAGCAAGATTATGCAGGCTTCTGTTTAGACAATCCCTTTTTATCATATAATCAGGCAAATTTTGGCTCAGGTGACAAAAAAGAATAAAATTACCAAAAAGATAAAAGATGTCACTGCCATGCTTAATCCATTATGGCAGGAAATCGAAACGAGTAGACTCTACTTCACAAATGCCATCTCATGGAATAGAGAGACAAAGGTGGTCTTCTGATGAAGTTTTATGATCTGTATTAAGGCATGCGATTACCTCATCCTGGAAGATATAAAGGATGCCATGTTGTTATCAATAAAAAAACATCAGTCACAGATCCAAGTTTCATGTCCCGTCTTCTGCAGCAACATGATATGACAGCGTTGAAATCTGTTCCATCAATTCTGGTCTAACCTGGGTTTTATCTTTAGATTTTGGAAGTTGCCAAGAAAACACCAATAGGCACCAAGGGTAATAAATTGGCCATTATTCCAAGAATATGCCACTTCTGGCTGTTTCTTGACTTGGACCACACCTTCCCGACGCCAAGCGCTACATGTGCAATCCGTAATGATACAAAAGTGAAATGTACGTTCTTAGTTCTCAGTATTTTTGTGAATGAAGAGTCTGCTGAAGTGTTTAACAGAGGTTGGCTATATTTAGAATAAATGTTTGGTATGGTTAAAGGTGATCTTTGTCAAGGTGATATTGATGTGAAGGTACAGCATGTATATATTCTAGTACATGAAGAGTGATCACTTACTTTCTCTTAATTCCAGCTTTAATTTTAATTAATGGTGTAATTTTTAGAAAGTATCGCAACAATACTGATATTGATTACTCATTGTACTGTGTTGTATAGAGGAAATGTCCACAGTGTTACATGTATTGTGAGTGGCTGATTTACGGTTAATTGAGGTGAGGTGAAATTGGGTTTATCGTCGTGCTTGAGAATATTTCGCTCATATGACGACGTGCATGCGTGTGTATGTGTATGTGCGGCTGCTTGTATTAGCCCAGACTGAAACTGGTTTTATAGTGCTAGCCCACTGAGATACCATGCCACAGTGAAGCATGAATACCCCATTCAGACACATTATACTGACTCCGAGCCGACCAATCCTTGTTGTACCCATTAATGCCGAGCGCCAGGCAGGGACCAACAAATACCATATTTTAACGTCTTTTGGTATGACGCGGTCGGGGATCGAACCCTCGACCTTCCGCTCTCTGGGCGGACGCTCTAACCACTACACCACGGAGGCGGTTACTGTTAATTGAGTGAGAAGGGGAGTAAATGGAATACCTTACTAAGGATGGAGTCATGTTTGGTGACTTTGGGTTGAATGAGTGGTTAGGTTAGGGTTGAGTGATTAAATTAAAGTTGAGTGTGTGTGAGTGGGTGGGTGAATTAGGATGTCTGTGTCAGTGGTAATAAGCACATGAAACAATGTGTATGTATTCTCAGGTTATTATCCATAATGTTCCATGTCATAATTACATCAAATTTCTCAATGCTATTAAAAACTGAAAACTGAATATTTTGGGGGGCATTCAGCAAAACTCCAATATTTTTGTGCATGGTTGACAAGACTGAAACCATAGTATTGTATTTGTAATATATGGTCAGTTCATCCTGGAAGATATAAAGGATGCCATGTTGTTATCAATAAAAAAACATCAGTCACAGATCCAAGTTTCATGTCCCGTCTTCTGCAGCAACATGATATGACAGCGTTGAAATCTGTTCCATCAATTCTGGTCTAACCTGGGTTTTATCTTTAGATTTTGGAAGTTGCCAAGAAAACACCAATAGGCACCAAGGGTAATAAATTGGCCATTATTCCAAGAATATGCCACTTCTGGCTGTTTCTTGACTTGGACCACACCTTCCCGACGCCAAACGCTACATGTGCAATCCGTAATGATACAAAAGTGAAATGTACGTTCTTAGTTCTCAGTATTTTTGTGAATGAAGAGTCTGCTGAAGTGTTTAACAGAGGTTGGCTATATTTAGAATAAATGTTTGGTATGGTTAAAGGTGATGTTTGTCAAGGTGATATTGATGTGAAGGTACAGCATGTATATATTCTAGTACATGAAGAGTGATCACTTACTTTCTCTTAATTCCAGCTTTAATTTTTAATTAATGGTGTAATTTTTAGAAAGTATCGCAACAATACTGATATTGATTACTCATTGTACTGTGTTGTATAGAGGAAATGTCCACAGTGTTACATGTATTGTGAGTGGCTGATTTACGGTTAATTGAGGTGAGGTGAAATTGGGTTTATCGTCGTGCTTGAGAATATTTCGCTCATATGACGACGTGCATGCGTGTGTATGTGTATGTGCGGCTGCTTGTATTAGCCCAGACCGAAGCTGGTTTTATAGTGCTAGCCCACTGAGATACCATGCCGCAATGAAGCATGAATACCCCATTCAGACACATTATACTGACTCCGAGCCGACCAGTCCTTGTTGTACCCATTAATGCCGAGCGCCAGGCAGGGACCAACAAATACCATATTTTAACGTCTTTTGGTATGACGCGGTCGGGGATCGAACCCTCGACCTTCCGCTCTCTGGTCGGACGCTCTAACCACTACACCACGGAGGCGGTTACTGTTAATTGAGTGAGAAGGGGAGTAAATGGAATACCTTACTAAGGATGGAGTCATGTTTGGTGACTTTGGGTTGAATGAGTGGTTAGGTTAGGGTTGAGTGATTAAATTAAAGTTGAGTGTGTGTGAGTGGGTGGGTGAATTAGGATGTCTGTGTCAGTGGTAATAAGCACATGAAACAATGTGTATGTATTCTCAGGTTATTATCCATAATGTTCCATGTCATAATTACATCAAATTTCTCAATGCTATTAAAAACTGAAAACTGAATATTTTGGGGGGCATTCAGCAAAACTCCAATATTTTTGTGCATGGTTGACAAGACTGAAACCATAGTATTGTATTTGTAATATATGGTCAGTCCAGAGAAATGTGGTTCCATCCATATTGTCAGCAGTGAGTGAGTTTAGTTTTAGGCCACTTTTAGTAATATTCCAGTAAAATTCCAGCAATATCACGGCAGGGGACACCAGAAATGGGCTTCACACATTGTACCCATGTGGGGAATCGAACCCAGGTCTTAGCCGTGACGAGCGAACACTTTAACCACTGAGCTACCCCACCACCCCCATATTGTCAGCAACTACTGATTCATCTCAAATCAAAGCTGATCCAATTTCTAAAATATGAAGAATACTCTTTTCAACATTTCAAATATCCCCAAACAAAATGGTCAGTCCGAAGCAATGTGGTTCCATGCATATTGTCAGCAATTACAGATACAGATTCAAAGCTGAGTCAATTTCAAAATATGAAGAATACTTTTTCCAACATTTCAAATGTCCCCACAATGGTCAGTCCAGAGAAAGATCTGGCTTCTCCTGTATTGTCAGTGATTGCAGATGCTGATTCATCTCAAGTCACAGCTGATCCAATTCTGTGTATACCCTGGTCGCCCGAGGCGTCCTGAGGCGACTACTGTAAGCCTCTTCCTTCTGATACTCTACTAAGTACTTGATAAGATTCCGTGTTGCTTTAAGCTGACTATATCAAACCTATGATCAATGGCTAGCCTTACTTACCATGTTTGCAAATCAATCAATACAACTAATTGATCAATATTGGTACCTGCTTTACTAGAGATGTGCTTGTGTGTAGAGAGAGAGCTTAAACCAAAGATTACCATTGTTATCGAAATAGAATATGTTTGACGATTGATGGATACTGAAGGTGAAGGTGGGGCTCTCTCATACCTCAACCTGAAGAATCCAAAACTACTCACGAAGTCTACATTACTTTGACCGGGATTTACAGGACACAAATTCCTGTGTCCTATATGCATAAAAATTGACAATGGACACAACATAATTTATTAGCGCGTCCACAGGGACTCAGAAAAAGTCCAAATACTTTTTGTAGAAATTCCAATCAAGTGACAATAAGTTATCAATGAGTTTGTTACAAGCTGGGTTATGGTATTATTTGCAATTTAATTACTGTAACAATGTGATGATCATGATACACAATACAATAACAGTATTAATAATAATATTTAAGTGTCTGGGACCCCCATTTTGTTGTCCAGGACCCCTGAAAAGTAAGAGTTTGAGTCCCAGGGACCCTCAAATACAGGACTCCATGTAAATCCCTGATCTGACATTTTCTCCTTGATTTCTTGTTTTGCTGTTCAACACAATTTCTTGGCCTCTTTCTGTTATGTGATTGAGGTCAATTTAACAAAAACATTCTTAAGTATACTCTTTAAAACAGGATCGTGAAATCATGTATATTTGATATGTTATTTATTTGCCTTCATTTGATCATCATGGATCACCCTAAAGGAGACACAGTGATATTGGCAGCATATTGGTGAAATCTACACTGAACTAAACAAATACGAAAAGTATTATTTTATGATTGAAGGCTATGTTTCTCTAAATGTGTAAAGTACATAAAAATATTTCCCTAACAACAGCTAAATGTTTTACCTATTCCGTGAAAACTAGCTCACATATTTTATCGCTTTTGTGCATGTGATAGTTACACACACACTGACACTACCTGCAACCGTTTGACAGCATGATATCATATTGTGTCATTTATCACGACTGTTATCATCTATCTGACACTTTGTTATCAGATTTTTAGATTTTTATTCACACTGGAAAGATTATTTTTTGATAAGATGCAACAAAATCAACGTATAAAATTTCTATCTATGTGCAGCACATGTTTATCAGATTTCGTGTATTTATCAGGTACCTCAGTCTATCAGAAGCAGGTGTCCTGGGCTGACATCATCCTTTTTGTTACTGACAGAAAGTTACATTCAACAAACTAAACTGTAAATCTGTCAAAGCCTTATACTCTCGTATCAACCATTAAATTTTATCTGTAGATTTACTGATATTTTTAGCTATTTTTTTTAAATAGCAGAGCAGTTATTTTTCTTCGTTTCAAATGATCACTACTGTGGTTATGTGTTACATATGAAAAAATTTGTTCAGTCATCGACGAAACTTACTTTGGTCTCGTGTTTTATTGCGAAAACAATATGTTGACATAATGGTCCAACAACAAACATCACTTCTAATGAGTGAAAATATTCCACTTGTGATATATATTCATACTCTGTCAACTTCACATTGTTTCAGGCATGAATATGTGTAATCTTGTAGCTGCTGTAGAATACAGTGACTTCTGCAAGCTGCTGATCACTTCACTCACAATTTTGCTCATGTAAACAAAAAGGGCTCAAGATAAGGGCCATATCAGCGTATGTAAAGATAAAAACTATGCATGATACAGTAGGAAATAATTTAGAAAACGTAGCAGATACGCACCACAGCAATGGTGTACGGTCTTAGAATCATTTACAGACATATTTATCTGAAAACGTATTGTTTTATTGTTTATTGACCTGTTTTGACAAGAGAAGCAATGTTGTGGTGCATATATGAAACGAACCACAAGATTACTGATACACCATTAAATTCCATTCAATGCTCTAAACATACTCTTAAGGTTTTCCAGTACTCCTATATTGAAAACAATAAGGAGTACATACTCCCTGATGTTGAAACATTATCTGGAGCCCTGAAACAATATAGAATGAAATTTGAATTTCAACCAGATTTCAAACATGAGCCAAGAAATACAGCAAACACATTTTGTGACCAGATATGTAATTTATGTAATTACAGATTTTTTTACATGATACACATGCTTTCAAGTGTGATGAAGCATAAACACACATTATGGCTTATATCCTGCTCTTGGCTCTCTACGTAGCTGAAGGTTATTTTAAATGGAATGTGCTCAATGCTGAAGAAAATATGTTGCTGTTTTTTAAATCATTGTTCCATCTGATTCGACTAATTTAAAACAAACAAAACCGAGAACTGCATCAGAATATCGATGAATACTTAGTGTTTCAGGACAATGAGTTGTGTGATCCTGTGGTGTCCGTGCGAGAGGAAAAAATCTATGGAAGACAATGTTGAGCTGTATGCCTGATATTTACATACAGAAAACATGTGTCTTTGCAAAGAAAGCACTTGCATAAAAATGTGGAAGATGTACATTGTGTTGCCTGCCATGAGTCACTTACTTAATTATTCAATAATTCTGTTAAAGGCTGAGTGACAAGGTGATAATATATTACACATTTGGACAGGGGTACACGTATATTTCAGTCCAAAGTCAGAATTTTGGGTAATATCTCCATGAATGTGTTGGAAGCTTATGGCTTTATATTCACTTGTTCATCACTGCTTTTGAGTGAGTGAGTGAGGAAGTATGGTTTTATGCCACTTTTAGCAATATTCCAGCAATATCACGTTGGGGGACACTAGAAATGAGCTTCACACATTATGAAGACGCAACTATTGGGAAAGGGGTGTCAGTAAGTTTGAAGTTATTTTAACCACTTTGGACTGTACATTCAATTTAAGGCAACTGAGAATTTGACATGACAATATCCAGTTTGACATGCTTGGGTGTAAACCATGGATTTGCAGGAATCAGACTGAGTATGACAAAACTTGATGACTTGAAACTATGATGACATGTGTCAACCACACGTCAGTGAACCTGACCACCTGATCCCATTTGTCACCTCTAACGACAAGCACTGAGTTGCTGAAGACAGATCTAACCCAGATTTTCACAGGCCAGACTTAGCAGGAACTGGGGCATTGGGGTAGCCTAGTGGTTAAAGCGTTGTCACGCCAAAGATCTGGGTTCGACTCCCTATATGGGTACAATGTGTGAAGCCCATTTCTGGTGTCCCCTGCCGTGATATTGCTGGAATATTGCTGGAATATTGCTAAAGCGGTGTAAAACCATACTCACTCTCACTTTGCAGAAACAAGATGAGCTTTCAACAGAAGTATTTTGACTGAAAGAAAATAAATTATCATTAACCTGATAACAATCTTATGCTATGAGACTCTGAGCCAGTGGGCCAGGTGAGGTGAGGTGAAATTGGGTTTAACATTGTACTTGAGAATATTTCGCTCATATGACAACGTGCATGCGTGTGAATGTGTGTGGCTGATTGTACTAGCCCAGACTGAAGCTGGTTTTATAGTGCTAGCCCACTGAGATACCATACCGCAGTGAAGCATGAATACCCCACTCAGACACATTATTCTGACTCCGAGACGACCAGTTCTTGTTGTACCCATTAATGCCGAACGCCAGGCAGGGACCAACAAGTACCATATTTTAATGTCTTTGGTATGACGTGGTTGGGGATCGAACCCGCGTCCTTCCGCTCTCTGGGCGGACGGTCTAACCACTACACCACGGAGGCGGACCCTGGAACTCAAACTCACACTATACACAACCACTGTTACCATGTGTCATATAAACGGGGGTATTTATGGATGTCAACTTCTGTAATATGAGGACGTATTACAGAAAGTGACACTTATTAAATTCCCCTTCATATGTATCACTTCTAAAGGTCTTCCAAAGACTTTATGCATATTTCACTTTGTAATAAATGCATCTTATCAAAACTTAATATAGGATGCAATTTTAAAAAGTTTTCTTTTGAAATATACAGTGGTAGTTACCGTTTATTTGCTTTTCGTACAAATCCCTTCTTGACGCCTATGTCCAAATGGGATAATGTTAGTGACATTGTCCAACTGTTCATCTTATTCTCGTCAGATCAGGTCATTAACTGTTAAAGACATCACAGCTCACTGATGTTTGTCACAAGTCAATTGGTCATTATTTATTAATGCCTTGAGAGCTTGACACTGTGCAGGTTTTCCCTGACACTGATAATTTAATACTTATTGATCCTGGTTGTTAACGCACAGCCGTCATTGTGCAACTGTTGCAGTTTGATGTTATGCATGTGCAGCTGAATGCATGAGTTCGCTCAGTGCACATGGGGCATTGGCTGCGTTAGACTTGCAAATATATCTGTATCATGTTAGGAGTTCTTGTAAAACTTATGGCAAAATGGTCATAAATGTATTGTTATTGATTAGTTTCTGAGTTTTTGCCTTCTTCTTACTGTGAATTCCAACCTTGTCCTATGTGTTGAAAACTGCAATATTCTCCTTGATAGGCAATGTAGTTAGCTGAGCCGTGATAATCATGTTATTTCCTGCAGTTAGAGTGAGTGAGTAAGTATGGTTTTACCCAGCTTTTAGCATTATTATATAGTCGTCGCCTCATCCGTCTGTCTGTCTGTCCGTCCGTAATCATTTTGTTTCCGGAGCATAACTCAAGAACCGTTCAATAATTTTCAACAAAACTTGGTAAATATATCAATCAGAACCTCAAGTGGTGCCTTTTGCTATTTGCAGATTTTTGTCATTTTTATTTTTCACGGTTTCCATGGAAACAATTCAGACTTAGTCCCAAAAGGGAGGGGCGGATTGCGTTTCTGGAGCACAACTCGAAAACTTCTTAATATCTTTCAGCAAAACTTGGCAGATGTGTGAGGCAGATCCCAAAGTGGACCCTTTTTGCTATTTGCAGATTTTTGTGATTTATTATTTTCTCGGTTTTCATGGAAACGATTCGGACTTAGTCCCAAAAGGGAGGGGTGGGCTTCATTTCCGGTGCACAACTCAAAAGCGTTCAATATCTTTCAACAGAACCTGGCAGATATATTATGCAAATGTTGAAATGGTGCCTTTTGCTATTTACAGATTTTTGGCATTTATATTTTTCAGGATTTCCATGGAAACAATTTGGACTAACTGTCAGATGATTTGTTCTTTCAAATATATGGGGGCCGGGGGGATATGTCATCTTCTGATGACTCTTGTTCCAGCAATATCACGGCAGGGGACACAAGAAATGGGCTACGCACATTGTGCCCATGTGGGGAATTGAACTCAGGTCTTCAGCATGACAAGCGAACGCTTTAACCTCTAGGCTACCCCACCGAGTAAAAGG